CTCATTCAAGTGGAACAAGAGAAAAATGACCAGCTTTGCTCTCAGGTCTTTGGAATGGCATTTCCTTACTATCTGTTTCAAAATTGAACTGTCATTTTTATTTTATTTGCTATGAACTGACATTATTTTCTCCTCATGCTCCAATTTTTCAAGTGTTCATAAAATCAGAGTAGTGAAAATGAAGACCAATATATGGCCACAGTACAGGGTGTTAGTTATCTGTGATGGTTACCCATAGGTTTGTACACAGGTTTCCATATAGTGCTGTGTGTGGAATCCAGGTTTCTGAATGTGTCTTGCTTTAGCCCATGGGACGTAAGCATATGCAGCCTATATTTATTTATTTAAAAATATTTAAACCTCACTTCTCAGGCCAGAGGCTGCAAAGCCATATAAAACACTGTCAAGCATACACAGAAATATAGCTAGTAGAAAAGACCAAGCAACAACAAATATGCCAGGAAAATAATTTAACAAAACAATATAGCTGAACACAGCAACACAACCAGAGAAAACTTGCCAACCTCAGAGATCTAGAAAGGTTTCTGAAATTAAAGCACCTTACCTGACAACAGAAAGCCATTAAAAATAACGTCCTCGGAGTCAATCTCAATTGCTGAAATAAAAGGATCCTATCTGAGCTAAGGGCATGTTGTAGGGGGGCACTGGGATAAAAACTCATTGGGGGGTTATAGTGGTAGGGATGCAGTCCTCCAAGGCACCCTGGTGGGACAATGAGCACCCATTTACCCTAGGTAGTTGTCAACCTCTGCTGTAGATCCTGTGTGGAGTACCCTAGTAGTTTGTAGACATTTGATTCCCATTGAAATTATTCTTCCTTTTTGTTGTTGTTGTTGTTGTAGGAAACACAAACATTTCAGCAAGCAGAGTGGTAAAAAAAAAAGGTAAAAACAGAAAAAGTGGGAAGGAGATGTTTGTTCCTGGTGTGAATATGTATGTCATTACTAAAACTAATGAGGGGAACACATGATATGAGAGATCCAAGCACACAAGGATAAAATCTCCACCAGACACATTATGTAATAACACTTTCCCAGTGTTTTGCAGAGTCCAGGAGTCTTTCCTGTCTGAAACTAAATGAGTCAACTTGGGGGGGGGGGGGAATCTTCCCAGCATCTTATGAAGCAAGGCTGTATAGCTCAGCCAAATACATCCTCCCACTTCCAGAAGTATTCAGGAATTACTAATTCCTACAGAAAAAACTACATGTTTATGAAAGCTTTTAGAGATTCCCTCTGCTCAAGCAATCCAAGAAGGTATTGCATCCAAGAAGGTATGTTCTTTTCTTGAGTTTTGTTGAAGTATAAGCTTGGATGGCCAAACCACAGCAACTGCTTGATTTGATTAGCTACACATGCACTGAAACTGTTATGACTTCAGGAATCAAAGACTGGCTCAATACAGATGGGCTCCTTTCTAGCTTGTAGCAGCCCCCAGTGACAACATTTTGCTCAGCAGAATTCATTTAAGGCTACTATAAATGTCAATGTCATATCTGTATCAGAGCTGAAGGTCACAGTTGACATTGTATCAATGATGGTTCATTTGTTATATCACTGCTTGCTCATTTTTGCTTTTTGTTTTAGATGTCCTTAAAAAGCGAAGGCTTTGTTTTTTTAAAAAAATATCAGCTATAACTCTTATGCTAAAACCTTAGATGACCCTTAAGCAGGTACAGAATCTAGAGAACTAAAATTACTCACTGCTGATTTAATCACTAGAGAAGACTGGGGCTACTGTCTGTACCCAAAAAACCGTTCTCACTAAATACAGTGCTCACAATGCTAACCCAAGCTACTAAGAAATGAACTTACAATTTTGTGGTTATGGTACCAGAATTTAACCATTGCACCAAACAGTGCTGATCAGAGCAGCTGCTTTGTCATGGCTAGGTCTAATGTTGAACTCACCAACCAGTCCCATCCAGGAATCTGTTTCTCTATTATTATTTCAGTTAATTATAGATGAAAAATATAAAAACATTCTCCATATAAGAGGGTTGGTGTCAACTAAAAGAAAAGGCTTCTTTTCAACAACAGTTACTGTAAAAAAAGATGTATGCCCAATTTACTAATTTGATGTTTCACCAGTCAGAATAGTTAATAATATAAAAGGTTGCCTTTTGCAGGATCAGACCATGGTTCTATCTAGGGATGTCAATCCTTAAGTACTTCATCCTCAAATGAAAGGACAAATAATTATGAAAGTTTTCTCTTTGCTGTAGGAGAAATCTAATATTCCTCTGATGTATTTTCCCTTGATGGCACAGTGGTTAAATGCTGGTTCCGTAACCACAAAATTGTAAATTCAATCCTGGAGGGCTCCAAGGTTAACTCAGCCTTTCATCCTTTTAAAGGTCAATAAAATGAGAACCCAGCTTGTTGGCGGCAATTGGTTTACACATTGTAAACTGCTTAGGCAGTGCTAGTTCACTGATAAGCGGTATAGAAATGTAGTTGATATCACTATATACTCAATCCTCCCAAAGTATTGCAAAGGAGTTATTCTTTAGATTAAAAAGTTGTTTTTTGCAGACACACACAAAAAAAGGTTTTCTGTGCAGAAACTGTTTGCTTTTTAAACACAAAAACCCACATGCTTTTCTCTTTAGAATAATTCTTCCACAACACTTCAGGGATTGTTGAATAGCAGGGGAGAAAGACACAAAATACTTGGTCTATTATTTTTCCTGACTAGATTTCCTCACTGTTCAAAAGCCCATTTTTCAGACTGGGAATAAATAATTACAAATATTCTTTCTGTCTCTAGTTTTTCAAGCAAAACTGCTTTCGATACCTGAATTTAGGAAAGGTTAATATATCATCCAGATTTTGTTCAGCCTTCAGTACCTTCATCTGAGTGCCTCCATCCAGTCAAGGAAACCTTTTCCCATCCAAGCAGGAAGAGATAAAACATCAATATTACCGTACCCGCATTTATCAATTCCCCCACGCATGCTGTTAGTGTTGAGAGACTAGAGGCAGTGTTGGCAATGGGCTTGTCTACATGTAACTGTATTATGCAAATTGCTGTGGATTTTCACGTGTTTGCATCAGTGCTTAATTGTCTTCAATTTCCTACACAAAGTCACATCTATTCACCTTCCCTCTGTCAAAAATGCACAGTCATGCAAATCCATGCAAAGCAGATGGACAGGCACAAGTTTAATAATGTGCATCCTTGAGGATACACTGGTAAAAACTGATTCCTTTTTTTGCAGAGTTTGCAGAGTTTTTCACCTTCCCCTCTGCAAAAAGCCTGAATTCCTCTGAACTGAATGTAGAGGGATTGCATTCTATTCACATAAAATGAGGAGTATTTAATTTGTGTAGACAAGTCCAATTTCAGGCTGAAAAAATGGAAAATATATTGGTAGAAAAGATCTTGGGTCTTGTCCTTGAAGTTTGTTTGTTTGTTTATTTATTTGGAAATGTACAGTCGGGAGGGGTTGGTGGTACAGAATTAGGGAAAAGCATCTGGGGTAAAAAAAAAAATGGTTGGGCTGCATAGAAAAATGACCAAAATTGAATGTTCTGTTGAATCTCACAAAAGAAAGCTACATTAGCAAGTATACAATTAAAAAAAATTAACAGGAATCATAATAGCTTGCCTGATAAACAGAGTCTTCAAGCCATCAACTAAAAAAATAAAATTCTTCCTTTGGTGAAATTAAGGGCCTTTACAGACTGCCAGAAATAATGCAACTTGAGTCCACTTTAACTGCCCTGGCTCAGTGCTAGGGAATCACAAGAACTGTAGTTTATTGAGGTATCAGAGCTCTTTGACAGAGAAGGCTCAATGTCTCAGAAAAAACTACAATTCCCATGATTCCCCAGTACTGAGCCAGAGCAGTTAAAGTGGACTCAAGTTGCATTATTTCTGGCAGTCTGTAAATGCCCTAAGTCTTGTGATTCTATCATTTAGCTCACAATCATTTAAAACTGTCTCATAGATGTAAAACAGATTAAAAATTGGCAGAAGTTTAAGAGAAATATCTCTCTCTTAATTCTACATTACTTACCAGGAAATTCATTAAAATTTCCCCAAAGATTATTAACAAATAAAAAACCCATTCTTTCCTGATGATGATGATGATGTTATAAATAGAACTTAAGTGTATGAATTTAATAAATAAATAAATAAATACATACATACATACATACTTAACTGGCCTTCAGTTCATATAATATTGACTAAGATGTTAGCTAAGATCCTACATTATGCTAACATAACATAAATCTACAGTCACACAGGGAAGTGGTGGTTGCATCACATCCTTCTTTTGTTAAATACCTACTTATTGCAACCAATGGTGTATCTGCCCATGGGCCTGCTTATTGTTCTCTTATGCACTGGGAAATGTTGCAGAAGCTATCTCTACAATCCTAGTGAATGAGGTGGCACGTTGAAGGCAACAGTGAAGAGTGACACACCATCCAAGAATGTGATGTGCAATGGTCACACTTGTGGGACTTTATTCACTTGAATGTGAATGAAATAGGGACACTATGGGCCTTTGCAGACTGACAGAAATAGTGCAAATTGAGTCCACT